GCAGGCGATTATTCGGGTGTTTGCAGCTTGGCGTGATATGTACTGTTAACTACTAGAAGTATTCACAGTAGAAAGATAAAATGTAGAAGTCAAATGTATAATAGTATTCAAGCTGAGTTATGAATAGTATTCATGAACTTCAGTCTATATAGTTGTGTGTAGTCAAGGGCTGCTAGCTCTATTAATTACATGAGAGATAGAAATAGAGATAAAGAATCTATGAGAAGTGAGATTTCTTACATAGTTCTCTCTCTCTAAGACTTCATCTGTGAAGTCTTTCACTGAGTGACTTCATAGAATCAGCTCAGCACTGCAGTGATACTCACTAAAAACTCTTTATATCTATAAAAAATCTCAGTGAGGAAAAATCTCTTATTACTATGAAGAGAAAAGAGTCTGTCACTCAGTTTCTTATTCTATAAGATTCTTTATAGTCTACAGATTCTTCTCTGACTATTACACAGATTTATCTTATATCTTTCATATAGAAGAGTTCTTATTAACTCTTAATCATTTTTATAAGATTCTTGTATAATTATTACACAGATTTATCTTACAGATAAATCACTCTCTATGAGATCACTCTTATTAAAGAGAAACATTTATAAGTTAATATTTCACTCATTCTTACAAATCATTATTCTTTAATACTGTAGAATTGTGAGGAATTTTTCATTCTTTCATTAACTCTGTAGAATTGTAGAATCAAGATATTCACAGTCTGTAATTACTCTTTATAGTTATATAGAAAGATTCAGATCTGTGATTTATAATCACTCTTGTTTACTAGAGTGATCTGACTATTTCACAGAATCACTCACAGTGTAAGTAAATCTCTCTAGAGTAGTATAAATATCTCAGATCTATTCATAGAATCTTATCTTCTTTTCTCTTTTTCTATAACAGCTTTTATCTTTATAAACTGTGAGTATTCTTATTCATCTGTGAAGTATTTTCACTCAGATAATAAAGAGAGAGTGTTTCTGATAATATTTATATATTAATTCAAGAACTTCTCAAGAATAAAAATTTTTTCAATTTCAATATCTTTATAAATAATGTCTGATCACTGCTGAGCTTCTTGTAAGCATTCTCATAACTTGTCTAATCACTTTTTACTGACTGATGAAGTAGAAATACTGCTGCTTATAACTGTATCTTCATTCTTCTTAGCTCTGTCACTGTACTTGATCTTTGAGTCAGCAGCTCATCTCATCTCTTTCTCAGATCAGTTTCTGACTCTAAGTAGTGCAGTCTCTTTCTTTGCTATAAGTCTTCTTATAAGTAATTTCTTACAGACTCTAGCTAACAGTTCTTATGAAGCTCTCAGTATTATCAGTGTCTTCTACAGCTCTGCAGATCTATGATTATCTTCTCTCTATCTGTACAATCTCTGATCAGGTATATGTGAATATATCTAGATTCTCTATCAATGATTCTCACACTGCAGTGCATTTCTGCAATCTCATTATTAATAAGAGATGAGTTCTCAGATATCTGTAAAATTCAGGTAATCAAGACAATGCAAATATCATGAATTTGTAACAGAAGTTGATCTGAGCAGATAAGCTCTCTCTTCATATCTCAATTGTTTTCAGACTGAATACTTCAGTACAACTGAAAGAGTAAACACAGCTTCATAAGAGATATCTGATCACATATACAGATAATCAGTTCTCAAGACTCTGTTATAACTGTATACATTCTAGTGTCTGACTTCTCTGAAGTCTGTGCATTTCTAACAGTCTTTATATTAAATATAATAATTGTCTGTACTGTGAGTATGATACTCTCTGCTTCTTTGAAGAAAGAAATTGATAGTTATGAGAGAATTGAGTGTCACAGATATTAAGAATGTAAGTGTGAGTTTTCTTTATTTTTTCTTTATTAATCTCTAAATTGTGTTTGCAGCTCTGTTTATTTTCTGTTTTTTAGCTTTAATAAGAATATGATTTCTTCTTCTCTTATATATACTGCAGACTGTTCATCTCAGTAAAAACTCATCATCTTATAGACTAGAGTTTATAAATGACAGTGTTAATATCTTTATTATAATCAGATTCTTAGTGAAGATCACATTATTCTGACTTATCAGAATTTATAATATAAAAGTCATGTCTCAGTTTCTGCTGATATCTTATCTGTCTGAATAATTCTTAAGTGAACTTATTCATCTTATCAGAATATTCTTATCACTGAATCTTGAATCAGAGCTCATGATCTCACTTCTCTGAGTTAATAATCTCTTTGATCTAATATTCTCTTTCACTCTCTAGTGTTTTGTAAATAGAATGATGAGTCACAGAGTTCTCTTCTAAGAATTTCTTATATTTGTGAAATAAAGAGATATAAAAAACATTATATATCTATAACTCAGATAACAGTTTCAATCTGTAGAACTGTAAACTAACTTTCTTCATAATCTTATAAGACTCTATTTATAAGAGATTCAGCTTCTTACTAGATCTTTATATAATGATGTTTTATAGACTTAGTCAGACTCTATTATCTTTCTTAAAACTCTTTATAATATACTTAGAGTCATAGTATCTCTTTTAATACTCTCAGATCTTTCTCAAGAATTCACAGACTTTCTCTCAGATCTTCTGAATTCTCTCAGCCTGTTCACAGACATCATCACACTCTATAGTATACTCTTGTGAATTCATCAAGATTATCTGTGAATAAGTCTCAGTAAGTATCTCAAAGAGGGTTTTATCTGTACTAATATATTTTAAGTTGTTATACATGAACTCTGTGAGTAATAATCAATGTATTCAGTCATTCTGATTGTAATTGATAAAGCACTGCAGATACTGTTCTAATATACTTATCAGATATTCTATCTAATTATCTATCTATTGATGAAAAGCTGTGCTTAGATCTTATGAGATCTTTAGTATAGTTATTAGATCAGATCAGAACTCTTCTATAAAGATTGATTCTCTATCTGAGATAATATTCACAGACAATTCATGCAATCAGATTATATTATAGATGAAGATATAAGTCAAATTCTTTGACTTCAAGTTCTTGTAAGTGAGTATAAAGTGTGTTATCTTGATAAAGTGATTCACTATTATCAGCACACTGTCAAAGCAGGTATTATATATGTTCTTACTTTCAGAGAGACTTATAAGAGACTTAAGAGTATTCATTTCTAGCTGTTCTCAAGATTTCTGTGAGATGAGTAGAGAAGTAAGTTCTTTATATAATCTGAACTGCACTATCTGCAAATTCTGATAAATAGTATAAGAATTTACTATCTTCTTCACAAGTTCTCACATCTTCAGTCAGAAGTATTTTCTTATAAGCAACTCATGAGTTCTAGTATCTGTAAAATAATCTGCTAGAGAAGAGTCATAATATCTTTTAATAAGTTCTATGCATAGAAACTCATTTATAAGTATATAAATTCAGTTCTCTTTTCATAAGAGATTATTTAAGTCTCTTTAATTCTTTATTTCTGCAGGATTGATCTCTGCTGTAAGCAGTTTCTGAATATACTGAGTATATTTATTCTTCAGTTGCAGTTCAGACAATCTGAATAGAAGATCTTATAAAGACTTATATTCTGTTTTCTCTTACACCAGGTCTTCTGCAGTACTTCTCAAAGTTTATAAATTCTTCAGATTATAAGTACTCTCTTCAAGAATTCTTATAAAGATTCTCAGAGTGTTGACTCTCAGTGTTGTAGAGAGTAGTTATACAGACTTCTTCTTTCTCTCTTCTCTCTTCTCTTATAGAGAATTGAGAGACTCTTCAGTCAATCTCTTTATAACACTCAGTCTGAGCATTCTGTGAAGCTTTTCTGTCTTCTCTAGTCTCTCTATGTCTGTTATTCTAGTCTTCTTAATATAGTCTGATCTGTGAGAGAATCTGTCTGCTGAGTTCTTAGTTCTCTTGATATATTCTATCTTGAATCAGAACTCACTCAGTCTCTGAGCTCAGTGAATCTATCACTGTGAGAGTTTCTTGATTGAAATAAACTGTTATAAGCTGTCATGATCAGTTCTAACAGTAATCACTGTCATAAGACTCTCAAAGTAGTGATACTAGTGATGAAAGAATTTCACTATTATAAGAAGCTTCTAATTATAAATATTATAGTTAATCTCTGTGAGTTACATCTTCTGTGAGAAAAAGATCACTGAAACTCAGTTCTCATTTAACTATAGTTACAAGACTATTTCTGAAATTGTAAAGAAGAAGATATCTATCTTTAATCTGATTAAGAGTAAGAGATTAAAGTGAAATAGTATCACTATATCTGTGAATATCTGTTTTAATCTTACAAAGATCTTATAAGCTTGTGATTCGGAAGAACGTACGACCGTCGGATAATACCGCGGCCGCTTCCGAACTACTAGCGTACGCGTACGAAGTGTAAAGGGGCCATAGCGTACGCTAATTAATTTAGCGTATGAGATTACAATATAAGAAGCCGGCGTACACCTGTAATTGTACACTGGCTTAAGCAACCTTTGAATCACATCTGATAGCATGTCTAAAAACCAGTGAGAAGCGCAGGCTCCTCCAGGGCATGATAATTCTGTCTACAAAGTGATTCATAGTTATCATGCCAGTGTGGTTCTAGAACATCTCAAAAGATAGTGTATGAAGAGCAGTGAGTGGAAGAGCATCTGATTGATGCTGCTTCACTTATTGAGGGAAAACTCCACACCCAGGCGAATGCCACATATGAGACGCGAACAGATGAGGTGTGAGAAAGAGGATGAGAGCAGTGAACCAGATTCAAAGGAGTCTGCTCCCTACTCAAAAGAAGAATAAAAGAGGGAGTGACCATCATCAGAGTTGTACAATGATAACAGAGTGATATAGCAATATAATGATATAGCAATATAATAATACAGTGATATAGTGATATAACAATACAGTGATAATGATAGACATTGTACAATCAACAAGAAATCACTGAAATGAATATCTTCTCTAGCTGATATGAATAACATTCTTCTCTGCTACCTGAACTGAAAGATATGCAGAACCTCTCAGAGGGTTTACTCAAAGCAGTAAGAAAAGCAGCTGAGACTGCTGAACTGGAATCAAAGCTTCATACACATATGAGGATTCTAAACAAGATTGAGGTCTTGTGTATGCAGTGACAGGCTGAGACAGAGATCAAACAACAATTGACATTTGCTGCAGATCAAGCATTCACTATGAAGAGCTTCGCTGATGCAATCATCATCATCAATAAGAATAGAGAAAACCAGATCTTAGGCCTGCAGCAGAAGATCAAATGTTTATACAGACAGATGACTATACTGAATCTGAAGATCTCATCACAATCATTCATGATCTCTTCAGAAGCATACACATTATCAGAGACTGCTGTGCAGAATGAGAATTCAAGCATGAAATATATCAAGTCAGGAGATCTGCTGGAGTCATCAAGCTTCAATGATGACTGAAAAAATGATGCTGCAATCAGCTGGCTAAGTCAGATGTGATCATATTATTGAATTGAATATAAACTCACAGACAGACAGTCAACAGAATTTCAACAAGTCTTAAGATCTACCACATTTCTACATGGAAAAGTGAAGTCATTATAAATGACTGATGAAAAGATGAACCTTGCAGACCTGAAGCAATATTCATTTCCATGAACATGAAATGAGTTTTCCAAGTGAATCTTACACAACTTTGAGGAAGTGAATGCATAAGACAAGTGTTATGAACACTTCACTGAGTGTAGATAAGTGAGTGATCTTACATCATACTTCACATACTTCAGCTTACACTATCTCATGTTGAATGAAGAGCTTCTAACATCTTTCTGTTTACAGATCTTCATTCATGATCTTACATCTGAGTTGAGAGTGAAATGAAAATGCTTAACCTCACAGCCAGGCACAGTGAAGAAAGCATATAACATTCTCATCATACAGAAACAAGCAAGTCAATTGTGACAGAAAATACTGCAATTGAGTATGCCTCAGCAGAGAACAGATAATCAGACTTCTACAACACAAGTCACACATCTGAATGTGATGAATCTAGATCTGAATGCCATTGCTAAAGTGCTGAATCTCTCAAAAAAGAGATCCTCTGGGTGAAAACCTTGATGTTATGAGCATTGAGCTTGTTTCAACTGTGAATGCCAAAATCATGGTGCAAAAGATTGCACTCAGTGTACACAGTTAAAAAACTAGCAGGATCAGTGAGCTTGAAGACACTCACTGATATTCTATGAAAAGCCTTCAAAGTGAAAGAGATGCCTGTGTTAGATGACTCTCTGAATCCTGTGAATGCAAAGAAGAAGCAGGCTTCTGACTGAGATGCAGGCAAGAATGAAGTGAATACTCATCTCAATGCCTTGAGGCCTGAAATGTTAATGTATAAGAGGCACTTGAGTAAGAATTGAGAGATGGCTGCAAAAGTGTTAGCAGACACAGAAGCTTCAATACAATATATTAATAATTATATAATCTGAAGATTGAAAGAGATCTGCTGAGTGAAGAATCTCTGACACATAAGATTATCTGATAACTGATATTTGATATCACCTGTAAAAGTAAGAGTTCTCTTGCACTTCAGAGAATGATCTTACTATATTTGAGTGCAAGAGCTGCAGAATGTGAAATATGACCTTATTCTCAGACTTGATTGATTTCAAAGGTTCAATTCACAGATTCAATGACATACATGCTATATGCAGTTGACTGATAGAAAGAAAATGATTCATACAATTCTATCAACTGATATAAGAAGGACATTCCATGTCTCTGATATAGAAGAGTTAAATCTGCTTACACATCAACAAGCAAAGAGAATGATTCACAAGACCTCATTCAAAAGCATTCTATATGTTATACAGGACCCGGAAGCAGAGGAAACCAAGATAAAAGATATGCGGGAGGATAAGTGTATAAAGAAGCTTCTGGAGAAGCATGAGAAGATCTTTCAAACAGATCTTCCACTGGAATTGCTGCTGGAACAAGGATTTGTACATGAGATTGACACAGGGAATGCAAAACCAGTCAATCAGAATGCATATCCTCTGTCACAAATGCATCTCAAAGAACAGAAGTGTCAGATCACAGACCTTCTAGAACATAGTCTCATACAACTCTCATCAAGTGCATGGGGCTTTTCAGTCCTATTCATGAAAAAGGCGGATGAAGAGTGATGAATGTATATTGATTATCAAGCACTCAACAAGCTAATGATCAAGAATGAATATTCACTATCACAGATTCAACAACAGTTGAATATGATTGAAAACACCTGATATCTATCAAAGATTGATCTTCTCTCAGAATACTGGCAGATTCATGTAGATAAACTGTCAGTTCTGTGAATCATATTTAATATACAATGAGAAAAGTTTGAATTCCTGACAATATCATTCAGTCTGACAAATGCATCTGTTATCTTCTAAATAATGATGAATACAATTCTTCATAAACAGAATGAAATCTCATGCCTTGTATATCTCAATGACATTCTAGTCTTTTCAAACTCATATAATGAATATCTGAAGCATCTCAATGAAGTGCTTATAACACTGACAGAGTATAAGCTCTATGCTAAATCAATCAAGTGTGTGTTTGAAACAGAAGAGTTGAAGTTCATAGAATATATAGTAAGTGATGACTGTATACACCTCATTTCAGAGAAATTGAATATCATAGTGAATTGATCACAGCTGAGAAATGTACACCACATATGACAGTTTCTTGAGTTGGTCTCATACTACTGCAGGTTCATCAAGAATTTCACATGAATATCTGCATCACTCTCAGATCTCTTAAGAGAAATAGATGCAAATCTGCAAAAGAAGAAGTTTCATTCAATTATCTGAAATGCTGCATGCAAAGAGGCTTTTCTCACACTGAGAGAATACATAATAACATTCTCAGTGCTTATTCAATCAGATTGTGATAAATCTTTCTACATTGAGACAGATGCATCTGAATGAGCTATCAGAGGCACTCTTCTACAGATGAGCAAGAACAGCAAGCTGCACTCAGTGATGTATAATGATAGGAAACTATTAAGTGCTGAGCTTAATTACCCAGTGTATGAAAAGAAATTGCTAGTGATCAAGCACATACTGGTGTTATAAAATAGATATATCAACAACAGACATATGACAATGATGATCACAGATCATGAAAGCCTCATCTATCTATAATCAATAATAAAACCTTTCAAATGCTTAGCACATTGAATCTCAGAGTTTCAAGCATACAATCTTCATATCAAATACTGAAAAGAATCAGACACAGTGATGCTGAATGCAATCAGTTACAGATCTGATTTTATGAATGAGAGTTCTGTGAATCAGGCATAAGAGATGTTTGTGTTAAACACACTGAGAGAATGCAAGAAATCAGAATGAGTGAACATCATGATCTCTCACTTGAAGAATGACAAGATGTTGAATAATAAGTGTCTCATGAAAGTAGTAGAAGAGATGCTTCCAAACTTCAAGCTGAGGAAATTGAAAAATGACATTATGCTTTACTGTGATCTAGAATACACAGAAGCTCTCTATCTAGAATCTTCATTTTGATGTGACTTAGTGACTCACATGCACAAGGAATTCAGTCACTTAGAAAGCCCTGAACTCATGAGTGTACTCAAATTAAGAGTGTACTGGTCAAGCATGGCTGAGGACATTCAGGTGTATGCTTACAAGTGCTCAAATTACCAGATCACAAAAGGATCTAAGAAAGGGTTAGAATGTGAGAAAGTACAATATCAGATGAAGTGTATGATACAATCATTCAAATAATGAGGGATGAACCTCATAGACATATTGCCATGAATACTAAATGAAAATTGATGAATAATTACTGCTATTGACTACACTACTGGCTGGTCAGTTGTGAAAGCAGTTCCAGAGATGACAGAGGAGGTGATGACGAAGTTCCTACATGATGAGATCTATGTCAACTATGGAATGCCGCGTGAGATTCTAATTGATAACAGTGCAAACCTTGTAGAAGAAGCAGTGAGGCATTTCATGAGCCAGTTACAGACAAGACATTATAGAACAACATCATATCACTCACAGACAAACAGAAAGATGAAACACTTGAATGAAATCTTGGGTAACATGCTGATGAAATATCTAGTGAGCAAGTCTACAAGATTATGAGATGAATATCTCAGGCAGGCACTATTAGTCACATGAATCCAGCAGCATGCAGTCATCAAGTGTTCACCATTCTACCTGTTGTATGAATTGCATCCGCGCATCCCGGAGAATGCTTCGGAAAAGATGAGAAAGGAAACAGCAGTTACAGATGCAGCAGTCGCAGATGCAACAGTCACAGACACAGAACTAAGATTGAAAGAGATCAGCCACACACACACAAAAGCTAACAAGTTACTTCTGAACTGAGCAATTCAATTAAAAAGAATACAAGACTCACTTGTTAAGAAATTGAGTCTCAAGATGAGAATGTGAGTTCTCATACATAATGAGAGTTCTGAAAAGTTTCAACCTAGGTGGTTTGAGTCATATAAAATACTCAAATCATATTCTCTGAGAATATACACATTGAAAGAATCAGAGAAACAGATCTTACACAACTTAATCAATAATTCATGACTTATGAAAGTAAAGATATAAGACTTGAGCAGATTATAATTATTCACAGCACTATCATCAGCATTGAAAAAGAAGAGACTTATAATTGAAAAGTCTCATGAAGTAAGAGAAATCATAGACACTTACAAATCAAATGATCTCACTTATTCTGATCTTTCCATAATTATAAGAAAAGAATGAGAAGAAATGAAGAAATCAGATAAACATCATACTTCAATAAGTGATGAGACTGTAGCTGATTGTACAATAACACATCACAGATAGCAGATGCAACATGACAAAGAGCAGTCTTAAAGCAGCAGACTTGCACATGAGTCAGATCACAGAAGAAAAAGAAATTCAGAGTTGAATTCAACTGTTTACATCAGTTCAATTGCAGAGATCACAGAGAATGAACTATCTGAAATATTCATGAACATGTGAGACCAAGCTATCTTGACCCCTGAGAATGCTCAGAGATCAGATAAGATTAGTTTTGATAAACTGTTCACTATAGTGATCTGAGTGAGTGAAGAGAGACAGTATAATATGTGAGACAGAATTATAAAAAGTTAGAAGCTGCTGAACCTAGTCATCAAATGCTGTACTATATAGAGATTGTGTAAGAGTAGTGACTAGCAGATAGAGAAAAAGTGTAAGAAAAGAAATAATGAATTAGTCATCAACTGTAAGAATCAGTCATAAAAGACAAATATTATCATACACATCTCATTCATTTTTATATATCACACATTTAATCTATTTCCAATGCCACATCATCTGAAAAACATCAAAAACAAAGAAAATCTCAAAACTCAAGATCTGCAAGGGATTTGAGAGCTGCAAGCTGCTCTTGTAACAACACTG